CAATTCCTGGTATTTCTTTCAATAAAACAAATTTTCCATTTTGGTTTCTTTATAATAATTTCAAAAAACGTTTATTTTCCTTGCTTTAATATTGCATATTAAATTTGAAGTTTCATCTTGTATTTATTTATTTTTTATTTTTTTTCTTGATGAGTTGGTTTTTTTTTTTATTTTGATAGGCAAAATCAGTGTAAATCAATTAGCTTAGTTCAAGTTGAATCATTCAAACTAAAATATTGCTTATGTTTATTAAAAATTATTGCACTTAGCTGGATAAAAGAAAAGAGACAGAATTGCTTGTTTTAAGTATTTGTAATAAGTATTATGAAGTAGATTAAATTTAGTTAATAACGGTTTCTTTTTTTTTTTTTTTTGTAGTTTTAAGTTATTTTGCTTTAACTTAACGTCTAAATTTGGTTTATGTACAATTCTTAATCCATTTTTTTGTCAAGTGTATTAAGCGTCAAAAAAAAAAATTGATTGTGACTGCATTTTTTTTGTTTTTTTTTTTTTTTTTTTTTTTTTTTTGCATTCAGTTTTGATTTTGACACTTTGCTCCCAAAGGGGAAAAGTATATTGCTTTTTTTCTTTTTCTTTATAAAGCAGCTTTTTCTCGTTTGCTAGCTAATAATATAGTTTATTTATAACTATATAATGTATAATATATTTTTAGTTTTATTTGATTTTTTTTTTTTTTTTTTTTTTTTGCACTTGCATTTGCGGTGAGAATTAAAAAGGCATGCAAATATTTTGTGCTTGAATGCAATAAATGTATATAGTTTACAGGGTATAAATAGGCCCTAAAAAACTCAATTTCGTATTATATATAAATATATATGTACATGTATGTCGTAGCGTTGGTAATACTACCGGTAAAGTCTTCCACTTTAACGATGTCGTTCAGTTAACTAGCTAAAAAGTGCTGTTACTCGTCTTTTGTAAGACTAGAGTCTCGTTTGCATTCTGCTCGTTTATCGATAACATAGCGAACCAATGCCCTCTTGCTTTCACTCGGCAATACCCGGAACGAAGTTCAGCTCTCTCTCTCTCTCTCTCTCTCTCTCTCTCTCTCTCTCTCTCTCTCTCTCTCTCTGTCTCTCTCTCTCTCTGTCTCTCTCTGACAATATAGCGTGTGTTAGTTAAGACAACACCATATTACACCGATACGACATTAATATATAGACATATTATTTATATATAAACAATATTTGATGAGATTCACGGTAATCAAATTTGGCCTCTAATAATGCAAAGCTTGTTAATGAATTTTTAATTGTGCTGAGCAATTGAATAGTTAATTAGAGTGTGTTTAGCCTTGTTTTGCTTAGTATATGTTTGGCTACTAGCTTTGAGTAACGGAAACCAGATTATGTCAACTTCTATTAATTGCAGCAATTTCTTGATTTATTTTATTTTCCTTTTTTAACCAACACATTTTCAGTTTCAGTTTAGAACAAAAGTCTTGAGTACATTTTTTTTTTTCTTCACATTTTACTATGTATATATATTAATATCATTGCACTTCAAATTGGTGTTAAGCAAGTGATTTCACAATTTCCATTATTATATATTATTATTATTAACAAAAATATCTCTAAAAAATGTTTAATTGTATATATGTATATATTATTTTCATTGATTGCTTTTATGCTGGAAACATTTCCACTAAAAACTATACTAAAACTTCAGTAAACATTCAATATGGGCCGCTTAGACACCATATCGAATGATCACTGTAGCAACTCAAACTCAATTTTAGAAGAAATCGTCTACAAAAACGCAACGCAAGCATTAAGAAAAATTCGTTTAATGAAAACAATATAATAATAATAATAAAATTGAGATATTGAACACTAAGAATTGTATAGAAACACAAAGCAATATTGACGAATAGATAACATAGGTGAAAAGTAAGTGGATCAAATATAGTATAAGTTGTATAAAGCACATTGCACTAGAAAATGTACAATCGAAAGATGTATTTATAAGGAGTAAGCCCTGAACCCAGATGACACTAAAATATTTCACATATAGGATTTTGATAAGGGATATTTGATGGAAATATCGTTTTATAGATTTTTTACTGTTATAATGATGCCTTAAAGCTGAAAGCCGAATCAATCAGTTCTTTACTTGACTTAAGCCAGGGTATTTCCTAGTCAGACAGTCGCATAAATCGGAGTAGACAGAACAAAACTCTTCTGCTATGCTTTAAAGCTAAAAGCGGAATCAAAAGACTATCTATTTGGCTTGAGATATTTATGTGTATAATGAAATCCATGCCGGTTTCAGGGTATTAGAAAAGCAAGCTGTTCAGGGTATATCCTAGTCAGGCAGATATAAAAATCGGACTAGAGCTATCAAACTAAATCCATATTTTAAAGCTGCAGGTGGAACAAGAAAAATAAAAGTGTTGCTGGCCCAGGATATTTGCTAGTCAATCTAGTCAGGGTATTTCTAGTCAGGCATTCATATAAATCGAACTAGAGTCAAGCAAATTAATTCTGCCAAAATATCCGTACTGGGTTCAGGGTATTTGCTAGTCTGACAGTGCCGACTAGTATATCATAGATAAGGTGCTTTAACACTTTTTTTTTTATTACTCTCAGATTTTTAAAGGGTTGTTTAGCTTATATTTTATTGATATATATATATATATATGTATTTTATTTTATTTTTGTTTTTGTGTGTGTTTTTATTATGATTTTACTATTTCACACATTTGGTTTTACTGTAAGCTTGGTTTGTCAGAGTTTAGAGTTTGGTTTTAATGCTTTTTTTTTTTTTTTTTTTTTTTTTTTTTTTTTTTTTTTTTATAAAGCTGAACCACATATAAAATAGAAATCATTTTAGTATGGTGATTAGACTGTTTGTAGAGAAGAAAATATATATACGAAAGCAGAAAATTAGGAGAATATTGTATAAATTGTTAAGCATAGGTGTATAGTTCGTATAGAGAGTGTATAGAGCGTGTATAGAGCGTGTATAGAGTGTGTGTATGTTGAGTCTGTTTTCCAGAGTGTTTGCACGACGATGATTGTAAAATGCGATAGTTTCTAAGGCATTCAAAACGTACTTATATAATTCTATATATAAATATTGTATGTAAATATATATGTATATATTTTGTTTGTTTTCGTATTTCCATTTGAATATGTTTTAGAAAGTTGCAAGCTCTAAGTAGTTGTAGATTGCCAAAATAAATTGAATAGAAAAATTTTGATATTATTCAATAAGGCATGCATAAAAATATCATATCATATCATATATGTATATATGTGTTTAACCATAGTAAATTTAAATAAAAAAAAAAAAAAAACATATATACGTATTTAGTATATATATATATACAGAGTATGTATAAGCAACTTTTATTTCAATTTGTACTCCAAAAATATCCATAGGCTTTATCATGTATGTGTGCAGATTGACTAAACGTGTAGATAAGCTCAAGAGTTGACTATTCCAATCAAGGTTTCAATATGTAAAGGTTGAGTAAATTAGGAAAGGAAATTTATAAATTAAAAGAGAAAGCAGATATATCCACCATATCTTATTGCTTTTGGGCTGTCAACCCGAATATCCACTCCAACTTCAACTGTCTATAAAGTATATAAAAGTATATAGTATTATAATTATATAAAAGTATATATAGTATAACCCAGATAGGGTTGATTTAGCACTGTTCTTCTGTCTCATCCCTATTATCCTACCATTTATTCTTCTTCATAAAATATTAAAAAGATATATTGAAGCATCGGAACCAAAATGATTGTCTGAGCTCAAGAAAGCGAGAATCTAAATTCAAATAAATGAGATACTGCACGCATACATCATTCAGCGAAAAGGATCGATTAGAATATACAGAACTTAGTATGTACAGCATGTATATATATATGTATATGATATATATACATATTTAAATAAGGAGATTAGAAGCATGCCACATGCAATAGTAAAATTAAAGTTTTTCCTTTTTCAAGTTTAATAAAAAGCTTCCTGACTTTGTTTTTGACTTGAGTTATCCTTCTATACATACATATATGTATGTATATATCTAAATACATAGGTAGGTACATATACGTATGTATGAGCACACGTATTTGCTGTATGCTCATACATATATACGCACAAATATACATATATATATGTATATATTGCCTCACATATTACGGGTACTGCCGAACCGGCTCTCGCAACTGGAAAGTGTTAAAGTCCGAACTACAGTTCGTCTCTGTCGCTCCTACAGCTTCGGCGCTTGGATCTCGCGTCGCTCTCACGACGATCATCGGGGATCGCTAGCCGAAGTACCGTTTTCTGGCACGTGAGAGTATTAGGTGGTTTAGTTAATCTCATGGCAATAGCAATTCTTCACCCAATAAGAGCTCAAGCCAGGTCAAACCATAAATACATTGAGTACTTAATATAGCAGGCGTTTTCAATCGGTTGGCACGAATTCGGACCGGCTCGAGCTGGAGCAATATACATATATTTATGTATATATATACATACAAGTATATCTAAGTTTATGTATATATAATTCATATTTGATTAGTTCACAATAAGCAAATTTTGTATTCAATGAATATCGATTATCAACATATCGCTTTAATCGAGCTGAGTAAGCGGCGTATTTAGGGGACTTTGCATTGTTTTCATTTTTTTGTTTTATTTTAAAAGCTTTAGCATTAGATTTAGGCATTTGTAATTTATAAACATATATATATACCTAACTTTGCCTAACATATTTTTGATATTATATGTATATTAGCGTACTTCATTTATTATCAATGAAAAAAAAAAAAAAATTAAATTAAATTTCGGAATTTAAAAAATTTGCATATTTTTTTCATCTCTGAATTTGTTTTTATTTTTATTTTTTTATTTCTTTAAGCATTTCAATAAAAATGCTTTCACAATTGAACAAATGCCTAATGTTTAGTTATATATGTATATATTTATATATAGTATATACATACATCAGTGATAAAAAAAAAAAATACAACAAGCATTTCCTTTATTTTAGTTGGTGTTCTGTTATATAAATATATATCATATATTTCTATTATTTTTTATGCATAACATTCCACACTGTTAATTGGGTTTCTATTTTTTTCTGCTTATTGTTATTGCTTGTATATATTTTTTTTTAGTTTCAAATATTTTGCAATCCTGTTGAATTTCAAAGAAACAAATTTTCAAATTTCCGTTTCGCTTTCATTTTTGCCTCCAGCAAATGGCGTGTGTGTGTGATGTGGAGTGTGGGAACGTATGTGGGAGTGTCTGCATGTGTTGGTGGATATACTTAACCATTTATAATATACATATACATATACATATACATAAATGTACATATGTATATATATGTGTGCGTCTGTTTGTTTGTATATATCATCAAACCATATTTAGATTTATTGTGCACGAATTCGTTGTCTTCCAACTCAGTGACAATCTCGAATTACAATTACTCCATTGGTTAATCACCACCTAAACTTAACGCCTGAACTATACGTGGATCAGCTTTACTACCCTCACGAAACTCTTCCAAGGTTAGCCGATCGTCGTGATTCTTGTCCATTTGATCGAAGATCTTGTCGACACGCTTCTGCGGCGTATTCTCATCCTCCGTCTGCGGCTGTTGGCCCTGTTGGAAAATACGAACATTTCATAAATATTCATAAATTCAATAATCAATTCAATCCGTTTATAATCAATTCAATCAATTTTACCCACCGAGAAATCCACGGATTCATATAATTTATGGGTCAAATGAGATTAAACTGCAGGAATTTTCGATTCTTGATCAAAGACTCTGACTCTGGCATCCTGATTCTGACTCTTACATTGATTTTGACTCTGATTCTGACTGTGATTCATACTGTGATTCTGACTCTGACTCTGACTCTGAATGAATCTGACTTTGACTCTGATTCTGGCTCTGACTCTGTGAATCCGACTCTGACTCTGTGAATCCGTCTCTGACTTTGACTCTGACTCTGATTCTGAATGAATCTGACTCTGACACTGACTCTGACTCTGACTCTGACTCTGACTCTGGCTCTGACTCTGATACTGACTCTGGCTCTGACCCTGACTCTGACTCTGACTGTGAATCCGACTCTGACTTAGACTCTGACTCTGATTCTGACTGTTATTCTGACTCTGACTCTGTCTCTGACTCTGTCTTTGACTCTGACTTTGACTCTGACTCTGACTCGGGCTTTGACCCTGGCTCTGATTCTGACTCTGACTCTGACTGTGAATCCGACTGTGATTCTGATTACAGATATATATTCTATTGATTCTTCTTCTACTACTTGACTGTTTGCATTTGTATTTGTGTGAGCCTGAGCGATTGTCTAGAGCTACGTTGGTTTATGTTTTGGCTACACGACTCTCATTTGCAATATCCTCTCAAGCACAGTAGGTAATAGAGAGAGACAGAGAGAGAGAGAGAGGCACAGATAGCTAATGCTAAGCACAGCTACACAGACTATTGCTTAGCGAGAGCGAGATGGCTATTGAGGTACATGTACAAGCTCCTGCGATTGTCAGTGGACAATGAGAAGGTGTCGGGGCATTGAAATTCCGGTATCGTTCACATTGTAAAGGACAGCGCACAGGGAATTCGTTTTTGAGCGCAGTTGTAAAAATATCAAATTAAAAGTTGCCACAACTCCAACATAAATGTTTTTATTTCAGTTTTCATGTGACTCCCTTTACGCTCTGTTGCTCCCTCTCGCGCTCTTTCTCCCTGGAGACTCCTCGAGCACTTACCACCATTTGATAAATTGCATCGACAATATTGTACATTTCCTCTCGCGTGATGTAGCCATCGTTGTCGACGTCATAGAGACGGAAGGCCCCTATTAAGTGAACAGATTCATATGTTGAATAATTATTTCGCTCTAGCCGTATCACCGGCTCCACTTACAGTGCAGTTTCTCATCCAGATTTCCACGCGATGTTATGGACAACGCACGTATGAATTCCTCAAATTCAATAGCTCCATCCTGGCGATATTTTAATTGATTAATTCATTCAATTAATTCACACACATGTGATTTACTTACATTGTTCTCATCGAATACTCGAAATACCAACGAGGCAAATTTACTGGGATCACCGTCTGGGAAAAATTGCTTGTAAATTTTGATGAATCCCTGTGCGCAGAGAACATTCACAATAGAGAACAAGAAAATTTTGATGAAAATAAGTCAAAATATATTGGCGATATATTGTATATAAATGTTTGTTAGTACTTAGTACAGTATTTAGTACATTTTAGTAAGGACTACAAACTATGACACAAGTCTAGAGCAATTCCTATCGCCCTATTTTGTAACCATTTAAAGTAAACATCAAGAAATTCATATTGAATACCAATCGAATCTCTTCGATTCGATTTTCGATTGTCTGTATTTATATTCCTTTTGTCTGTCGATAAGTTTGACTAATCGATTGAAAATTGAGTTTTGAACAGATCTTGAATATCGAGTATATAAGAGTAGATATGTACATTATAATATAAAAGTATAAGCCGATTCGTAGCCAAGAAATATATAAAATATTATGCAAACAGATAAATATTTTATAAAATTATTTTAATTTTATAGTTTAGTCAGCTTACACAAAGGTAAAAAAAAAAGTTAATTTTAGTGACTAGAGTAGTTCGTAGAAGTTAAGTAAGAGCTGGAATTTAGTTGAACGTATTTACATTATTTTAAATTTTTTTAATCTCATGCTCGTTATGTCTGACCGGAAGGAAGACCAATCGCATTACCCAAAAGCAACCTGACTTAGCCAGCCTTAATAGAGATATATTTCTATGAAGTAAAAACACATTTTTAGCGCTGCACTAAATTTAATATCAAATAAGAGCAAAACTCATATGCCATAAAAATAACCATTTTATTTATTATGATTTTATTTTATTCTATTTTTGAAAGGCTATGGTAATACATCATTGCATGAGTTGCATGAAAACCGCAAATGCGTTTGTGAGTATGCTGTGAATAAATGATATATCCACAAATATGTGTATAAGGCAAAGCTCTATTGCACAACTAGCAGATACCGCTTAATTGGCTTTTTATAGGAAATGTCCCTTTCGCCGCTTAGCTACGGAGATCTAAACATTAAATTTCATAGTCGATACTTATCGATCAATGAATATGAAAGACTATATCAGTGAATTGATAAGTTTGGTATATGAAGTCTCAATATCATAATCGAAGCCTATTGATCCATGATCCATCCATATCTTATATTAGTAAATTAATAATCTGCTATATATGGTCCCAGATTTTCGATACTTATCGATTTATTGCAATGAAAGTGCACATAGCAAAAACAAAACAACAAAAAAATGATTAGCTACTCTTTTTACATCAAAGTTTATAGTCGATATCTAGCGATCCACTGAAATGAAAACCCATTGAGGTAATACCCAAACTACAATAATCGATACGATACGATTCTTTTTTTTTTTTTTTTTTTTAATATGCTCTTCAATTGCACATCCTACCCAGGATCAACACAATCATATTTCGTGTGCCTAGCTCTTATAGTTGACTTAAGTAAATTTAATTCTCTCACTCACGTTACACTAAATCTCGAGTGTTTGCCTCAGCCAGACGCTGACTAAGAAATATTTGTTTACTCGACTATCTTCTGGGCTCGATGCTGTCGTATAATAACCCCTTTGTCAAGCATTCAATACTTATAGTGGGAGTGGGACCTGCGCCCTGGCAGCAACCACATTTTGCACATCACAAGAAAAAAGCAAGTAAAAAAGTCTAGTCAAGTTTATTCGACTACGGGATGCCCTTAGTAGAACTGAATAATTATTCGCTTCCTTTGTGCATATAATCGATAATAGTCGATAACATTAAAACTACAATATTTATCTCTGCTTTGAAGCAACCTTGATATACGCCTGCCTTATAGAAACCTACAATCAAATGTGTTCTTCCTAAGATCATACAAGCGGACAGATGGAGAGACAGACAGGCAGAGAGACGGAGTGTCCTAAATGGACTTAGATCATCAACCTGAGGAAGACTCTTTACACATTCTGGGCTCTGCCACGCCTCCATCTGGCTGTTACATACATTTTAACAAAACCGTTATGCCCCGATTTTCCATTTTGAATGGGCTCAGGGTATGGAAAGCATGGACAAGTTCCATTGGCAGCCGCAAACAGGCCGCGAAAGGCCACAGAACTGCGGCACCAATAATCGCGTTGGCATTGAGCGAGGCACAAGGCCAAACAAACATAAAAATTCGAGTATGGCCATAACAAATTTAGCATGAAAATAAAAAAATAAAAATAAAATAAAAATAGAAAATAAAAAGTAGGAATTTTCAAGTAGTTTTTCCTCTTGTTTAAAATTGTGAATTATCGAATCAAAAGAGGCTGCGAGAAAAAAAAGCAGACTTCAGTTGACCATGGCTATTGCTTGGTTAATGGGTTAAAATGAATAAATAAAATGATGTAAACGTAGAGGCGATGGGCTCGCGCCCTTTACTTACTTGTTCAGTCAGCAGACCGTTCGGGCAGTCTTTGAGAAAACCTTTGTGCCTTCAAAGTGACATAGATTTTGTTTGGTTTTTGGTTTTTGGTTTTTGATTTTGTTTTGTTTTGTTTTTGGGATAGCACAGTTTAGAGTTCAGTGAGATACAGGTAAAACAAAACAAGTCCAGAGCAAAATGCAAGAGTTGAAGTAGAGACAGAGAGCGAGAGAGAGCGATAGAGAGAGGGAGAGAGGTAGACGATTTAAGATTAACAAACAGTCCAACATCAGTTGATCAAACACAAAAAAAAAAAAGAAGACAAAACAAAAAATTAAATAAATAAAAAATATTCAACATAAGTAAAAATTCTTATATAAATATCCGAGTATATATGTACATACATTCATGTATATATTTTGATAGAACCGAAAACGGAATTGAGAGAAATTTATACATGGAAAATTCGTTGAATGTAAATATTTAATAATCGAATGTCAACAATTTTGTGTACATTATTTAATGCTAATTGTGTTTGTGATATTTACATAATGTGAGGCATTCGCATTTGCATTCGCAATCGAATCGCCACTGATTTATTGCACAAATATTTCGAATATCGAATTTCGATGCGAATGCACACACACACACACACACACACACACACTCAGAGAGATATAGAGAGAGAGAGACAAATGAACATGATTACATTTGATTTAAATTTTAAAATCAAAATGAATAACAAATTATTGTAAATGGAATGAACTCATGTGTGTGTAATACATACATACGCATTAAGAGGCGCTACGATTTGTGGCATTTGGCAAATTGCGAGTCGCAAATTGCTTTCTAATTGGAACACCTAAATTCTTACCATTGACGTATTTCCTTTTCGGTAACTGCAAAGAGATGGGGGAGAAAGAAAGAGAGAGAGAGAGAGAGAGAGAGAGAAATATTTATTAGATATTTGAAATGGAAGCAAGTGAGAGTGCTCTAGTCGGCTGTGCACGACTAGCAGGTACCCTGAACTCTGCTCATAGCATAAGACACTTTGAATTCATTCGAATTGAATTGAGTTGAGTGAACGAGCGGCACACAATGAATTGAGTGAGCTTGAGTATGAGCACGCATTTGATCTCATACCATTCGTCATTCAGTTAAATGAGAAGAAATATAGCACAAAACGTAATGCAAATTTGAGCAAAGTCAGAAGCACTCGAATCACTCAAGTTTTGCCCATGCTTTGTCTTCGTATTTCTCAGCGCATGTTCAACACTGCGCATTTTGTTGTTTTTGTTTTTAATATATTTTTTTTATTGCTGTTGTTTTTATCCTCGCTAACCCGCACTCCCACTCATGCAATTCGCTTTTTTGTCGCTTGATACGTGAGCGCACTCATTTACTCAGAGTTTTTCGGTTTCGCATTCAACGTTCTCACTAAACGCATTTTATGCATTGTTAAATCGAGGGTTTTTTTTTTTGCCATTCATTTATGTATTTACTCTGCCAGGCGAAATGCTCATGCATGTGGCTGTGTCTGTATACACACACACACACACACACACATAAGCAGATATTCTGCTTACTGCACAGTTAACGCAGCTTATGGGCTTTACTGAGGGAAATTAATTGTTCCACAACTTGAATAACAAGTGCGAGATAATATCATTCCGAATACGTGTTTTTGGCAAGTAATTGCATTATAGTAATTCCTGATTTGTGAATACATTCGTAAACTATGTATTCATTGCAGCAGCCCGCATAACCCATTTAAAAGTATCAATTTTTTAGGGTATTCCATTGAGGTTTACAGCAGTAAATATAAATCTATTATATTGTTTATCCTACATTAAATATGTTATATTTGTATATTTATTGCTGTAAACCTGAAGCGGTTACAGAGCCCAAGCTATGATTAATATACGAAATTAATCGGTATCGAAAGAAAACTGAATTATACAGGAATATATACATAGGTACATGTACTTCAAATGCCAAGTATCTAGCTTTTGAGAGACGGTCGCACGCGTGTAGATCAAGAGCTTATGAATATATAGCATACTTTATGGGGCTAGCCACGCGTATTTCCTGCATATTACGTTATGAAAGAGTACTTAATTTAAACAGTGGAGTCGACTGCATGATTCTCGCTCAGTAAGCATTAAACTGTTACACTCAAGGATTATTCATAATATTTAAAACAATAAAAACATCATTCACAAGTCTTAAGAGCTTTAGCTTGTCAAGACAAGACAAAATCAGAAAACGAAGTTCAAAATAAACGAGCCCTGTTCAGTTAGCAGACTCAAGCTCATATTTTGCGACTGATTTGTTTTCGGCGACTATAGCAAAATAGCAACACATAAAAAGAGAGAGAGGATGGCAGCTCTTTCATTATCAGCATCGCCATACGAAATTAGACATGCATACATACAAATATGTCGGGACACAGAGAGCATACTTCACAAATAACTGTTGCCCGTTACGCGATGTCTGCCAATCAGTGTATTTCACTCTTACTTTGAGAAAAAACTCAGAGAGCAGCCGATTGCATCGGCTCCTTAACCGTAACCGTTTCGCTCTGGCTGTTCTCCAACCGTTTCGTTGAGTTAAATGAAACGACTGTCTCTTTTGTGTGTATTGGTTGTATGCCAGCTCTCTAAACATATCAATTAAGGTGTGCTTGTGTATGTGATTTATTTAGCTAATTTACTCAGTTACTGAGTATCGTTGTGCGAGCGTCAATCGTAGCGCAACCGATTGCATCGTCTCCTTAACGAGCTCGTTTTTGATCGGCTCGTAAACGTTTTGTGTCACTCTGGATATTCTCTAACCGTTTCGTTGAGTTAAATGAAGCGGGCCATCTTTTTTATATGTATTGGTATGTATGCTTGTGTTGTGCTCGCTATGCGTATCAGTTGCGTACCTGAATTGAGTGTGTGTATGTGACTTTTTGAGCTATTTTACTCAGTTACTGAGTCTCATTACTAAGTCTCGTTAAACAAGCCAACTAAAGGCGCTCAATCGAATACCAAAACGAAAAGAACCGAAGACTCTTGCTGAGTAAGAGAGAGAGAGAGAGAGAGAGATGATCATAGATATATTAATTATATATATATTAATCTTATAATCTAAATATTTTAATGCGACGCTGATTATAATAATGCAAAGGATAGTAATTCCTTGTCATAGACAAGACTTATCATTATATCTATGCAGGGTATTTGCAAGTATATATTCCACATAAGTATTTCAAGCTTCCGCATTTGCTGTTTTCAGAACCAACAGCATTTTAAGTAAGTGAATTAGTGATACAGTTGGACATCTAATTTGGAATTTACGACTGGAATTGAGTCGAATTAGCAATCATCGGTGAGTTGTTCCAGCGAGCAGAGCTGTGTGATTCACCGAAGCACTCACTGTATATATTTAATATAGCATATGCCACGAATAATAATAATAGTAGTCATAATAATAATTATAGTAATAATCACAGCAATATTAGTACTAATGCTGATAATAATCGCCATCATTCACAAGCTTAGCTTCCGCCCATTCATTCTGGAGTTGAGCATTCTGGATTGAGCCGAGACTCGGGCCTTGGCCTAAGCTGCTTACCTCTGGCCTTATCGGCCGCCAGATGGCCAAGCTGATGAACTCGTAAACAATTTGGCTCAGCCGCTGAGTTATGCCGTCTTAGGCCAAGTTTGGTCGGCTTACGAACCTCAAATATTGATGGGATGCCATTGGCTGGGCTTAGAGCAACAGACCCCACCAAGGAGCTGGCCAATCGACGAGGTAGCCCACCGGAACTTTACTAACTGCCTGTCTATGTCTATGCTTGTGTGTGTGTGTGTGTGTGAAAGTTGCATAAAGTTCATATCATTTAATAAATCATTTAATTTATTACCTGGCAGCTCAGGCAGCACGAGCAGCGCAGTCAAAGACAGACACACATACATACATATGCACCCATGCACATATTAACTGTCGAAGCTATGTGCTCAGCTATACATGTATACATATATCGATATGTGTGCGTGTGTGTGTGCGTGTGTGTTAGCTTATCGTCATATAACATACTTAGAGGCGCGTGTGGTGCATGCACGTCTGCACTTAGGAGCCAGCGCGAGGCCCAGAGTCGTGTGCCACTTTACAAATGAAAAAACATTGAAAAACACGAGTCAAGTTAGCTGAGTTGAAGGTAACAACCTTTGAATACCCTTACGCCTAGAGGAAGCTAAGCTAAGCGATGCTATATTAATGGTTTTTGGAGTGAAGAAACAGTTTCAGAGAGAAGAAAATATTTGTTTATTTTATTTAATAAACAAATGGCTTACTACACTTAAGATTTATATTAATATTAAGATTAAGTGTGTACAAGAAGAAGACTTAGACGCCATCACCTGGATTGTGTCTTGACCTAAACAACTTCAATGTACTCACGATTCCATAAGCTTTATCTGTAATTACCACGCCCTAAAATATATATCTTCTTTTAATTTTATAGCTTTTAGAAAATATATATGATATATATACATAATCAATTTATATTTATAGTTAATCAATTTACATATGAATATGACTATTAATTAATTTCTGTTTAGACTAAGTTGCCTAAAATGTAGTAGAGCTTTAAATAAATAATAAATAAATGACCCATCATTAAAGGATAAAAAAAAAAAATTTTTTTTACCTTTTCAATTATTATATAAATTATAAAATGAATATGATATGAATATATGAATATATATATATAATGAATATATTTTTCTATATAATATCTAAGCAATTTCTGTTTAGATTAATAAAAATAATGAACAAAAAATAATAAATAATAAATAAATAATCCATACTTAAAAAAGAATAAAAAAGGTCGATGTTTATTGTTCTCAATATGATATGAATATACCATAAGTAGAAAATTGAAATGAAATATGCAAATGTATGAAATTCTACCTATATCCGGTAATTAAGAAGCTCTCTCTTCTTATACGATCTTTATAGACATAATATTGATAAGCCTACGACATATACACTAAAACAACAGAGTGTTCTAATAACCAGAACTCATATCATTCCAGTTCAAACAACAAATGGCAAATCACTTTATTGACCTTTCCAGTTCCTCAATTATACGCTTTATCAAATCAATCTGCGATCTGAACTCATTGTTAAGCCAAATGATTTTCTATTGCTCTGTAAATTGATTGCGATTGCCACTCCAATATATGTATATCTCAATGGGCTCACATCTGATCCGAACTCTTTGATTGGGCTCGTTAAACAATTTGCCAAGGAGCAGTGTATGAAACAGAGAAATCCATTTGATATTTAGATATATGCGAATTGCATTATTAATTGGAAAATGTGTAATGGCATTGGGGGTTAGCTGAGTGGCTGAGTGGCTGACTGGGTGACTGGGTGAGTGGCTCTTGAGTTGGGTCTTGAGGCCGACTGGCCGTCAGTCATGGTAGTCCTTGCCTTGCACACGCAATTCAAGTCAGCCGCAGCCATTGAGCACAAATTGAAAAGCTCCTCAGTTGCCTGGCATCAAAATATAACTCATTATAAGCGCCATAGGCAAAGGCAAAGGCAAAGGCGAGGGCGTGGGCGTGGGCGTGGGCGAGAGCGAGGGCGAGGGCGGCTCTGCACCAGCATAAGCACAAAGCGGCATCGAATCGCTGGGGCTAACACCACGCCGCCCCCCACTACCACACACACACACACACACACACACACACTTAAAAGTCTACGCACGCCAACGCGTCCGCTAAGTTAGCTCCTGGGCATGTTGATGTCGACGTTAGAGGACTTTTACTGCGGCTATATGAATAATGCATATGTGTGGGTATATCTCATGCTACGTGTGAGCGTCACTATGTGTGTGTGTGTGTGT